ACTTCCAGATTGCGAGACATTTTTGGAACACCCTGTGTATTACAATTTTGCTGTCTAGATTTAGGTTGAACTGAAGTAACCAGTAATATTTTTTAATTATACCATTTAAGATGTTACGTTTGGATATAATGTTGTCTTCCCATGTCAGTCTTTTAAAGCATCATTCCAAAAGAACCTAGCTTGTTTATGTTGTGCAATAGGAGTGTCATTAACAGTAGATTTACGGAAACCGTAAAAATGACGGGTCACTAATTTTTTAATTTATATATTTAATATATATATATTTAATTTTTATCGTAAAGATACATTTATGAGTTATTTATTCAATTTATATGTTACTTACGGCAAATGTTACAATAACACTTGTTAAAAATCAGAATAAATGTCTTATCGTTGCTTTTATAAACTAATATAAAACAGTTGTTTTTTGTGCTCCGTAAATCTAGCGTTAAATACTGCCGTCAAACAGTTGTTGTTTTTACGTAAGGCAAAGGCGACGTGCACGTATTTAGTTTCGTTGATTTTAATGCGCCATTTATCGAACAATTCTTCGATGATATTAACGTGACTCTGCAGGCATTCAATGGCCATGCTAGGGTCCGCATAGGATGCCAAGAAGGTCGCGTCATCAGCAAATGTAGCTGTGATTACTTGATCGCTGTTGGGCAAATCAGCCATTAAAAACATAAAAATCTGTTGTTTTTTTTTTAGCAAACATGAGCAAGTTCAGTTTTTCCAGGATATTATTGCGCACATATTCAAAATTATTTTCCGTGCAAAACACGAGCATTATGACACGCTTGGCAAATTTGTTATTATTAACCCCTCGCCGTACCGTCTTTTTTTTCATAGTTGCAACGATTGGAAGTTTTTCGATTGTAATAATGTTTAAGAAGAAAAGAGACAATTTACATTCAGTGAGACAATTTATATTTATTGTTATTATATGTATATATGTTATTATATTTATATTTATTGCATGCCTGCACTTAGTTGAATGCTTAAATATCGATGACAAGAGACAGAATTTTATTTTGACATAAAAGAACGGAATTATATTGGGTTGGCAACTAAGTAATTGCCGATTTGTTCAGTGAAATAAAAATTTTTTTTACTTGGAACGAAGTTTAATCTGTATTTTCCATTTTGTTCGATGACCTTTCGCCATCTCTCTGACAACTTGAAAATTCCACGCTCGTAGAAAGTCAGAGCCTTTTCGGCCAAAAATTGAGCTAAGTGAGATTTTGCAGCGTCATCATCATTAAAAGTTTTACCGCAATGGGAGTTGCCCAGGGATCGAAATAAGTGGTAATCCGATGGCGCGAGATCAGGGCAATATGGTGGGTGTAACATCAATTCCCAACCAATATCCATCAATTTTTGCCGAGTGGACAAAGACGTGTGCGGCCTAGCATTGTCCTGCTGGAAAATGACACCTTTACGATTGACCAATTCTGGTCGCTTTTCCTTGACCGCTGCATTCAATTTGTCCAGTTGCTAACATTCACCGATAAAAAAAATAACATAATAATAATAATAATAATAATAATAATAATTTTATAATAAAACATTTACGGAGATATCATAAAAATGGGAGTGAGAGACATTGCATTTTGGCAATTATGGAACATACCACACCGTGTATGCAACCAAATAGGATTAGAAATGATAAACAAACAAATAAAACGGATGTCAAAATTAGTCCAAGAAGAAAATCGTGGAGAAGAAAATTTAATTTTCTTTTATAAGTTTGACTTTATTTTTATTACAGTGTAAAAAAACATATAAATATTATACACATACAATTATTCGTTTGAAACGAATTGAAGAAATTATAACAATTTCCCATCGGGGTTTCTCGAATTTATTTAATTTTCTGCGAGTGTCCCAATACTTTTGGTGGGGAGTGTACGCGTGCGCGTTTGTACGAAGCATGAAAGAGGAACGAGCGCGAGAGTGCCATACAACGAAGACGTGTTTACAATTTGTTATTAACAAATATATTTTCAGTCACACCTTTGTTCCTTATTTCTACAGTTGTTAATATTCTCGCTGTTGAAATTTGACGAATTAAAACGAGCCTACGGTTCAAGAAACCTTTTCCCGCGTTTGTCGCGACACGAACTCTTACAGCAGGAAGTCTCTTCTTCACAGCGGCCTTCGAAAAGTTGATCTACGACCTTTTTTGCGGTTTTATTGCTCCTTAAATGGAAAGGGCCCCCGCTTACGTCCTGCGAGCATACAGTACACCCCCGTTCCTCAATTTACGCGGCTCCTTTTTGCTCGGTAAATTATAATGCTACTTACACGGAATTTTTACGCGCGACATCAATTCACGCGGCCAGTAAATCTTTGCGAGGCTCTTGAATTAGCCAAAAAAAAAAGAAATTGTACACTGTCATTGTACACATACATCGAAATATTCAACGAGCCTTGAAATTTCGACGAAATTTAATGAAACGTTGCGCCGAATGTCAGCAAATTTATTGAAATAAATTATTAAAATTTATTCATTTGTTTTTCGTTTTACGAAAAACGCTCGCTTCGTTTTACCACGAAGGGAGTTGTCCAGGGATCGAAATAAGTGGTAATCCGATGTCGCGAGATCAGGGCTATATGGTGGGTGTAACATCAATTCCCAAGCAATATCTATCAATTTTTGACGAGTGGACAAAGACGTGTGCGGCCTAGCATTGTCCTGCTGGAAAATGACACCTTTACGATTGACCAATTCTGGTCGCTTTTCCTTGACCGCTGCATTCAATTTGTCCAGTTGCTAACATTCACGGATAATAAAAAATAACATAATAATAATAATAATAATTTTATAATAAAACATTTACGGATATCATAAAAATAGGAGTGAGAGACATCTATAACTGAAATCGGCAATTACTTAGTTGCCAACCCAATACAAAAAATGGATAGTAGAACGTACGTGGATATACGAAGTATGCACTAAAAATAGCTAAGCAAAAGTATTTCAACATGATAACGCAGCTGTGCATATTGCAAGAATAACACGAGCTTATTTCGAAGATAAAAATATGGATATTTTACTGTGGCCAGCAAGATTTGCAGGATTTGATTATTATTGAAAACTGTTCGGGAATGTCAGCTGAGGAAGTATACTCAAGGGGAAAACAGTTTAACGCCATAGAAGAATTAAAAAGATGTATTGAAAATACGTACGGAAGAATTTGAAACAAAACACAATTAATAAATTGTATATATCTTCACCACAAGGTATGTTGGAAGTGATAAAAAGGAAGGGTAGAAATTCATATTATTACAAGGTAACAGAAAGAATTCTATGTGTTGATTGTTTATGGAAAACTCAACTTGTCTTATAATTTTGTCGCACCTGTTTTTTTATAAACTGTCACCATTACTGTGAAACAGCACAAATACTGAATACTAAATATATGTAATATATATATATATATTATATTTATTATATCATATTATATATATATATCTATATATATATATATATAGATATATATATATAATATGATATAATAAATATAATATATATATATATATTATATTTATTATATCATATTATATATATATATCTATATATATATATATATAGATATATATATATAATATGATATAATAAATATAATATATATATATATATTATATTTATTATATCATATTATATATATATATCTATATATATATATATATAGATATATATATATAATATGATATAATAAATATAATATATATATATATATTATATTTATTATATCATATTATATATATATATCTATATATATATATATATAGATATATATATATAATATGATATAATAAATATAATATATATATATATATTATATTTATTATATCATATTATATATATATATCTATATATATATATATATAGATATATATATATAATATGATATAATAAATATAATATATATATATATATTATATTTATTATATCATATTATATATATATATCTATATATATATATATATAGATATATATATATAATATGATATAATAAATATAATATATATATATATATTATATTTATTATATCATATTATATATATATATCTATATATATATATATATAGATATATATATATAATATGATATAATAAATATAATATATATATATATATTATATTTATTATATCATATTATATATATATATCTATATATATATATATATAGATATATATATATAATATGATATAATAAATATAATATATATATATATATTATATTTATTATATCATATTATATATATATATCTATATATATATATATATAGATATATATATATAATATGATATAATAAATATAATATATATATATATATTATATTTATTATATCATATTATATATATATATCTATATATATATATATATAGATATATATATATAATATGATATAATAAATATAATATATATATATATATTATATTTATTATATCATATTATATATATATATCTATATATATATATATATAGATATATATATATAATATGATATAATAAATATAATATATATATATATATTATATTTATTATATCATATTATATATATATATCTATATATATATATATATAACCCGTAAATATATCGACTTAAAAACAAAGTGACTTATGCCACTTTCAAAATAAACGGCTCATATATATTTTATAAATACTAAATATATATTTTTATATATATGAGCCGTTTATTTTGAAAGTGGCATAACTCACTTTGTTTTTAAGTCGATATATTTACGGGTTTGCGTTGTAACACGTTTAAAAATATGGATGCTAACTTTCGAGATTTACTTGCATTTGTTATCTCAGGATACTGATATTGTTCTCAGTATAAATAATTTCGTATAAACATTAGAAAATCACCACTTTTCATTGTGTGTACAAAAACA